TACACACTCTAGCTGGGAATACTGGAGGTAAGCTTGAGAGATACGAGCAATCCAAACTGGAAAAGAGTAAAAATTAAGAAAGACTAGAGAGTAATAGATATGAAACATAGTGAATTTAGCATACCAGTAATTGATATCCCTGACATATAGAATCATTGAAGCAGAAAGAATTTGTCAAGACGTTAGGAGTTTCCCACAATAAAAGACCTGACATTTTAGAATGGTTTCTAGTCTTTAAATGTAAAGACTATTATTGGGTCAAAATGGAAAAAAAAAAAAAGTCCAGCCCCCTATAAAATAAGAGGCTGGCCTTACAAGCTTTTCCATTCTGTAACACGTGAAAAAACGCAGTCACTAGATAAAAAAGTATGACCCAAGAATTTTACGTCCAGGCAAGCTATAGTTTAATATCAATTGACACATGTTTCCAAACAGAAAAACTTCGGCTTAGTTCTCATTAACTTAGCCGTGCAGGTCAGGGGAGGGTGGGGGACAGGGCCGGAGAAGGGAGGAAACTTTTGAATCAAGAGATGAGTTGAAAACTGAGTTAAAAGGATTAGTGATTAGCATTAAATAAATGTAAATGTATAACTAATATTAATGCTAATATTAATATTGTGGCAATGTAGAAATATAAGGGAAAAATTCAGAGTTGGGGATTGGGTAGATGGTTACAAAAATGAAAATTTTTCTCATTCATAACATGAGATCAATCACAATAATGCTAAGTACAGCTGACCCTTGAACAACATGGTTTGAACTGTGCAGGTCCAAACTAGATTTTTTTTCTATAAATACAGTACTGTAAATGTATTTTCCTTATGATTTTCTTAATATTTTCTTTAGCTTACTTCATTATAAGAATATAGTATGTAAGACATATACATGAGAAATATGTATTAATGAACTCTTTATATTATCAGTAAAGCTTCTGGTCAACAGTAGGCTCTTAGTAGGTAAGTAAGGTCAAAAGTTATACTTGGATTTTTGACCAAGTAGGGTGTTTGTGCCTCTAATTCCTGCATTATTCAAGGGTCAACTATATACTAATTTTCTTAATGTGGAGTAAAGAGATGTTATCTAAAGGACATAGACTATAAATCTTCCAAGAAAACAGACTATATAGTGAAATATGTAATAAAAATTAAAAGGATTAAAAAAGATAAAATTATGACAAACTATTTGTCATAAACAAATACAAAATTATAAATTGGATAAACTAATTTATTAGAAGAAAATGACAGATTGGAGCAAAAAAGTTAAATCCATTAAGAGAGGCATCTGAAAAGGGACCAGCAAGTAATATTTTAGTAAGTTTATTGTATATTTACTTATTTAGTGAATTTTTTAGGTGTGGTGACCATATAATCTCTTTTGCAAGTACTCAGTTCTACTGACAACGATGTGAAAGCAGCCATAGATAACATGTAAATGAATGAACAGGACAGTGTTCCAGTAAAACTATTTACAAAAATTAGTAGTGGGCCACATTTGTCCTGAAAGCCAGTTTGCTGACCCATGATCAGAAGACTTTTAAAGTAAAAGGTTAATAGCATGATACATGGAATAACAACATACCTTGGAAACATTCTTTTTCAAGCATACCTATTAGACCCCAAAGAAAATATCTGTCAAATCCAAAAAGCAGAGATATATGCAGATTATGCTCTTTTTTTTTTTTTTTATGCTCTTTATTCTTAACTAGAACTAAAGCAAAAGAAAGTATAAAACTTTGCCGTCTGAGAAAATGAAGTAACCCTTGGGCCAAAGGAAAAATTGAAAACTCAAATCCAGATCAACTAGAAAGTACTGATAATCAAAATTCTATGTTGTACCTCTGGGATATGACTAAAGCAGTACTCTTGAGGAAAAGTCATAAATAAAAATAAAGTACTAAGCAAGAAAAGATTGAGATAGATAGTTCAGCCCAGGAAGTTACCAGAAAAAACCCCCACAAAAAAAGAAAGTAGAAAGAAGATACTAGCAAATATAAAAGCAGAAATTGATGAATTTAGAAAACATACATGGAGGTACTAATAAATCCAAGAGATCTGGCTTTTTTATTTATTTGTATTTTTGAAGATGTTGGTAACAATATTAAGCAGATAAACTCCTGTTGAGCCTAATCATGAACAAAGGGAGAACTTACAAATGTCACCTGTGTATGAATGCACACAGAATATGAGATTGAATCACAGGTATTTAGGAAATTAAATGTAAGTGGACATATTGCTAAATTGTGTGCAGGTAAATTTCAAAACCTGATGTGCACAAAAAAGCACTGTGAGGCCCAGGCAACCTTCTAAGGAACATGATAACTACAGTGCTTTTTAACTTGTTCCAGAATATAGAAAAAGGGAAAGGTTTTCTAAGTTACTTTTTGAACTATTATTTTGATACCAAATTCTGAAAAAATATTTTAAAAAACCCCTAAGCTCTAGACCATTTTCAAATTACAAGAATCCTAAAAATTAGCAAATGTAATTTAGCAAAGAGAATAATACACGATGACCAAGTTCTCACTATGAAGTATCAGGAATACTAAATACATCAGTATTGGGAAATACTAAATGCCATGTTTTTAACAGTACAAAAGAGAAACATGATTTTCTCTCAAGCTGAAAAAGAATTTGGTAAAATTAACCATCATTCTGAGTTTTTTTTTTTTTAAGAAACAACTCTTAATAAAACAGGAATTACTTGATACTTCCTTAACATAACAGGAAATAAATTTTATGGTAAAAGCTTGTGTTATTTCTACCATTGACTGTAAGCAATGGTAGGAATAACAGTGGTCCCCATTATTATTAACATTATTCCAGCAGTTCTGGCCAATTCAAATGGGGGGAAAAAAAAGATGTATAAAAATTGGAAAGAAAGGGGAAATCATCAGTCTAGATACATCACATGTGATTGTAGATCTAGAATATGTCTTAAAAGTGAAGGTTGTCCTTCATATCCCTCCCATCCCTGCCCCCAGTCTTTCTATGATTTATAAAATATTCTCATAAGATAGATATATTGGCTACTTTTTTCACTTATATCCAGTGTATTTTTTTTCCCAAAGTTCATACAGGTTTACTTGAACTAATTTACGAAATATTTAATACTGACCAGGTGGATGAGCAAGCCAAAGAGAGTATAAAAATGAAACAGCATGGGGCATCTGGGTGGCTCAGTCGGTTAAGTGTCCGACTCTTGATTTTGGCTCAGGTCACGATCTCAGGGTTCTGAGATCTGGGTCCCACGTCAGGCTCTGTGCTGGGCATGGAGCCCCCCACCTTAAGATTCTCTCTCTCCCTCCCCTTCTCTCCCTCTCTATTAAAAAAAAAAAAAAGGAAAAAAAAAAAAGCATGGGTTTGCTTTGAAATATTTCCTGTCCTTGAGCATCTAGACCTTTAGGGCAGTTAAATTTTTAATACAACTTTTTCTCCTTGTATCCTAATAAAGTAAAAAGGGAAAGCTCTTATTTTTGTTTTGTTTTGTTTTTTAAGATTTTATTTATTTATTTGTCAGAGAGAGCACAAGCGGGGGGAGCGGCAGGTGAACGGGTAAGCAGGCTCCCTGCTTAGCAAGCAGCCCAATGCAGGACTCGATTCCAGGACCCTAGGATCATGACCTGAGCCGAAGGCAGACGCTTAACTGACTGAACCACCCAGCCGTCCCGAAAGCTCTTATTTTTGATTTACATTGATATCTAATTAGGTTTACTCAGCAATGAATGTGATTTTTATTAACTAAGCTAATACTTCAGTTGTTTTTTCTGCTACAGTGAAATACTCAAAGGCAATAGAAATTCTCTATCACCAACAGGTAGAATGTAAGTAATAAGAAGCATTGACATTTTTTAATAACCTCATTTGTTCAGTGCTTAACATGCACTAAGCAAGGTAGTTGGTGTGTTGCATGCTTTGTATCCTTAGAGCAACCTGATGATAACATAGCTACTATTATTAGCCCTATTTTACAGATGATAAAACTGAGGCTGTATTATTTATTCAAGGTAACACTAAGTGGCAGATTTTGGCAAACGTGTCTTCTGACTCCTTTAAGCAGATATGTGTCTTGACATTTATGGGTATAAGGAATTTCATGCTCAGTTTTGTAAAGAAGAGCGTGTTCTGGAGTTTTTCTGTAGTTAGTATTCAAGCTATTCCATCAGCCCATCTGGATGACTTGTAGATTCTGGAGAAAGTAGATTAAACCACAGGGGCCCACTACAGCCTGACTTGACAAATCAGTTTTCACTGTAGACTGTCTTGGTGTTATAATATGGAAATGTTACTGCTGGCCATTCTGTGTGCAGAGAAGTAGTGGGTGTTACGTGGTTTCTTCCTTCCATTTGTTACTAAAACTCCAAACATTTCTTAAGTCCTGATTCTTACCCTATTTACTGTAATTGGCTGCAGCATGTGGTATATAGCCATGCCCTGGATGGTGGAAGTGTAGTTAGGTGACTACTCTTTGGGCTCAAGAAGTTTACATTTTGGATGGGATAAATGTGGGGAAATAATTACAGGGAAAATGACTTCTAAAACAGGAATTTGCCCCCCCTTTTTGTATTTCATAGAAACATTTGTTGTAAATGGCCAAATATTTTGTCAACATATCAATATGTCAAATTTCTGAGGGACGTTTTAAGTCTACAGGTTCATTCCATTGGTATTGTGAAGAGATTTGCATTCTGAAAATAGATGTAGCATTCAACCACCAGTAATAAAATACAAAGACCTGCCGCCTTAATTTGTTTGAAAGAGCCCCGCTGGTTTGAGGTACTTGAAAGAACCTTCCCAGAGTAAAAATTACTTGGTTCAATTTGGAGGGGGGAGGTAACTTGGTATTTTATAATGTCTCTTACTATTTTAATTTCATATTGGGATGATGGATTACAAAGGAGAATCCATCCTGTTAGGAAGGGTGATATCCTAGTATTTGACTTCCCAGGTAAGTAAGCTTTTCTCGGTTCTATTTGTTAACTAGGCCTTTTGATATTTTTGTAGACAATCTGCTTCATCTTGATTCTGCAGCATTCCAAACTGTGGTATCCTTGGGGTTCTCTTAACATTGCAATGGTGCAGAAGATTTAAAATCAGGTATGGCTGTGGGGCCAGAAGTCCCTCAGTGAAATTCTCAACTTAAATCTGCCTTATACTCTCTGATTTATCATTTGGGTTTCTTTTTTTGTGGTGGTCTTTTAGCTGATGTTCACAAGGAATAGAGTCACGTGATGTATGAAGGGAAACATATACACTTCTCTGAGGTTGACAATAAGCCCTTGTGCTCATATAGCCCCAAACTGTGCAAGCAGCGGCGACTCAACGGGTACGCTTTCTGTATCAGACACGTTCTGGAGGACAAGACTGCCCCCTTCAAGCAATGTGAATATGTGGCCAAGTATAACAGCCAACGCTGCACCAACCCCATCCCCAAATCAGAGGATCGTCGGTAAGAGCTAATGATGGAAATCCATCTTTGATTTCATTCGTAGGCCTGGAATTTTCTTTTTTTCTTTTTTTCTTTTTTTCTTTTTGTAAATGTGAATTTAAGCATTGAGTTCTGGGATAATCTAAGTAAACCTTGGAATGCTTCTAAAGACAAGAGATGGCAGTTTTTAGAAAATGGAGGAGTGGGGAATTATTTGAAAAGTATGTTTGAGTGTGTTTGGTTTTTTTTTTTTAATTGGTTTAATAGACTTTAAAAGAAATTTTTCCTCAAAATCGTTGCTTGTGTTTGGTTTGCAGTCTTATGTAAAGTAGTTCCTGATTATGATAGAAATCTGCTTAAACAACAGAAATTATAGGAACTATTTAGGTGTTGTAATTAATGGTAATGATTTTGGAATTTTTTAATCTGTGCTGGAAAGGTAGCAAAGGGTATGTACTTATTGAAAAAGAATTATTCAAAAGAATGATTACTTGAATTATTGAGAAGATGTACTTTCAGACTTCTAAGCAGTGTTTGGCATTGTTCTGTAATCTTGCCTCTTTTGGTTAAAAGAGTTCCATATAAAGTATGTTTAACATAATTGAGAAACGGTATGTTTATAGTAAGAGTAGGCTTTATCACTAGGATTATGAATTTTTACTTGGTTGAATTAAAAAACATGGAGATGTTTTTAGAGAAAGAGTCTTAGGATAGTTATTCCTCTTTCATGGTCTCAGGAAAATTCAGACTATTTCATATATAATCTTTTTTTCATTCCTTTTTCTTCGGTTCTCCAGAAACCGTGTGGGCATTGTCGGATATTACAGAGAGATGTGTAATTATTCCCCAAAAGTTTCAAATACTGTTAACTTTAGGTAGAGAATGTGAACTTTTTACTTTAATCTTTAAAATATGTATATACAGCCTTCATCCTTGTTCCTATGCATAAACAGATGTCACCTGCATAAATGGGTTGAAAAGAAGTCATGTTTTGTATATGTCATGGTGAGCAATTTTTACACTTCTATGGTGAAATAAATAATTTGTGTTGATAGAGCTCCCACCAAAATGAGTATAGCATCATGTGGTGATTTGGGAATACTCCCTTGGAGTTTCTAATGCGCACTTAAAGCTTCACATTACGATACCTGAATGTTAGAAGCAGCTGCTCAGTGAGGCAAGGAATAAAATTTTAATCTCAGTTGAGAAAGGGACCACTGTACCTGGCTAAACATATCTGTCCAGCTTCTAGCAGACTTACCATGCCCGTTTCTTACCCCTGGCCTTTTTTAACTTGAAGAATTGATGAACTTGGATTCAGTTTTTACTCCAAGCTCCACTATAAACACATCTATAATTTTGTCCCTTTTTTTTTTTTGAAGTTTATTTTATTTTTAAAGATTTTATTTATTCATTCGAGACACAGAGATACAGAGAGAGAGAGAGAAGAGAGCATGAGCAGGGGGAGAGGCAGAGGGAGAGGGAGAAGCTGGCTCCCTCCTGAGCCAGGAGCCAGATGTGGGGCTCGATCTCAGGACCCTGGGATCACGACCTGAGCTGAAGGCAGACCCTTAACCATCTGAGCCACCCAGGCGCCCTAAGGTTTATTTAAGTAATCTCTACACCCAACATGGGGCTCAAATTCATGACCCTGAGATCAACAGTCGCAGGCTCCTCCATCTGAGCCAGCCAGGCACCCCTGTAATTTTGTCTTAAATTCAGTTTACCACATTTGCAATTGTCCACATTGGATTTTTTTTTTTTTTCCATTTCAGCGGAAGCAAGTACTATCTTAATAGCTAGCAGCGAGAAGTAAAACAAGAGTTGCTCTGAATTTCTCCAAAATATTAATTCTCTGAATCATAGGTCTTCACCTTGATATTCAAAGTAGTTTCCTCTTTTTAGAACAAGAAAAAAAGGGGAAGGACTTGTGTGGCTGTATCAAAAGAAACTAAGCTTAAGTACTAAGTTACATAAATCTTTTCAAATTGGTTCAAACCAATGCAAATGGTATTAATATTTTTATTATTTGTAGGGTTGCTTGGAGATAAAGTAGACATCAGTAGGAGGTAATATTCTTATGTTGCCTCAAGAAATCCAGGTTGAATTGATATAAGGTCTAACGTGTATATAAATATTGATAGTTAATAACTACATTATATGACATAATATAGAAAAGATTGATATTCTTTTGAAAATAAGCTTTCATTATTGTTAATGCAGTTGTTCTTTGGACACTTAGGAATTTGAGATGGTTTTATGTATTATTATAGAAAACAAACTCCCAATGACTTTTAATTGATAAAATTATCTAATTGGTGGTCAGCTAAAGGAAGCTTCTTAGTTTCTGGTGTCTAACTTCTGGTATGTATTAAAAATGCTAACTTAAGGGATTCTACCTCTTTGAAATAGAGTAGTGTTATGTTCAGTAGGAGTACTGGTATAATTAAAAAGTAAAGTTCATTTTCTAATGTACTTGTGCAGTGGGAGGCTAATAAGGCTTATTACTGTAGCCTTGGTTTCTCAGAGGTAAGTGGTTTTATTAAATTGGTTATTTTATATAATTTAAAATTTGTTTACTCTAATTTTATATATTTTTTAGTAGTGATTTGTCAAGTTTTTTGTTTCCTATATGTTTACCATTTTCCTAGACAGCTTAATTAAGACATAATTCACATCTGATACAATTCACTCATTTGAAGTGTACAATTCTGTATTTTTTAGTATATTCACAGGGTTGTACAACTTTCATCACAGTTTAATTTACAACATTTTCGTCCCTTCAAAAGAACCCATTAGCAGTCACTCCCCTATATAGTTATTCAATTCATATTTGCATACTTCTTTTAAACACTGATCATAACGAAGTAAGCTGTTGTAATTCTAGCTATGAAAATTCTTTCCTTCTAGAAGAGGAAGTGTTTTACAAGTTCAGACTCTGTGTGGTAGTGCTGACAGAGTAGCTGGAGCAGGAGTTGAGGGTGAGGTTGAAGGAGGGCTGGACGTGCAGATTAGCCTCTGCCCTGTTACGTGAGGTGGCACAGAGCAGGCTCAGTTACCTGTTCAGGCTGCCCATGTGTAATGAGCAGAAAAATTTCATTTCCAAATTTAAAAACTATCCCACCTCATTTCTCCCCCACTAATCCTTTTGTTAATTTAAAAATGACTTGAAAACAATAACAAAAATCATGCAGTTATCCCTGAAACTTTTTCCTTTTTGGCCACAGCTTTATAAATCTATTCTGTTTAAGGTCTATGTGAGACCTAACCTAAACCCGCTAGGTGTGTATGTGCGAGTGTGCGTGCACACACACACACACACACACACGGTGTAGATTCTTTTTACTGTCCGGAAAGCTTTTTCTTAATAGTCCTATTAAAATGGAGGCGTGTCTCTGAGAGATTTATTTCTAAGACAAGCCAACAAAACCATGTCTCTTGATGATTTGGTGAATCTGTATTTTTAACAGTTATTTAAAAATTTGTCTGATACGGCCCAGTGAGTTTCAAGATTGACATTAATTACTTTATTGCCATTTTTACCCAAACTGTGTTCTGTGGAGATAGCACAAGTGCACTACAATAAAAATAGATGCCCTTTTCAAGTAAGTTTGGGAAACCCTGCCAGATGGGTACATTGCCACCTTGAAGCGCAATGCACGTTTTCATACAAAATGCTTTGAGAAGTTGTTCAGCAGAAACAAACAACAAAATCGTTGTCTAATTCTGTTGAATCCAGCATTTTTCAAACTTATTTAAGCATGGAATACTCTTTTTATGGCATACTTGCTAATCTTCTGAACTGCATGAGGAATCCCAGTCTGGGAAACACTACTTTACTACCAGTTAAACGCCTCTAGGTTTTCAGTGTGGTTTATGGGAACAACATGCATTCTTCTTTCTTACTGAGTAGAAGGATTCTGTCCTTTTTAGTATTTTTAAAATACCATTTACATTACAAAAGTAACCTCATTGCTGAAGACTGTGGAGAGTCTCCTGAGCTTAGATTTTTCGTTTGAGTCTCAGCTCTGTTTCCAGAGCGGGGGTTTGGGGCAAGTTATTTAATTTTTATCAGCTTTAGCTTCCTCATCTGTATAAAGGGCATTATTTTAGTACCTACTGCAGGTATAAACATATTTCTCTGGCTGTTGAGGAACTCATTTCATCTATAATCCCTCTAACTAGTTTTATTATTTTACTTTCTCCTTCCCTCTGTATTCTTTATTTCTCTCTCTCAATCTGTGTGTGTATGTGTGTGTGTAGAATACACTGTAGGCACTTGGTATTTTTAGGGATTATGTCATAAGATCTTTGTGGATCTACAAATACTTGAATGACATTGGAATATATATAGATATATAGATAGGATTTTCTTTCCTCTCCATAACGGAGTTTTTAGAGATCCTTTAGACTTGATGAGTTCTTTTTGTGCTGTGAATACAAAATAACAATGCAGAGTGAGAAGCAATAGCTGGATGGTCATCCGGGGCCACTCAGTGTTGGAATGACTCGCTGCTGTCTGGCAGCCTCTGCACACACACAACTCACCTATTTGCTTTAGGAAAATTGCAGACTTTGAGGCATGCTTGAGAGTAGTAGAAGTTGTTTATGTTAAATCCATGAATGCCAATAGTTCCTATAGTCATGCATTTTTAATATATTAGGTAGGATTCACATTTTATACTATGTAGTTTTATATTCAACTTCTCTTAGTGTATATCATAAACATTTCCCTGTGTGTGTTTTTTAAAGGTACTGCAACAGCCACTTGCAGGTACTTGGCTTTATCCCGAAAAAAGAGAGGAAGAAAAAGAATGATCCTATAGATGAGGTGAAGGTCAGGCACCAGATGGATACCATGGCCTTTAGCCTGACGGTGCCCCCGTTGGCCTTGAAGATGCCCAACGGGCTGGATGGAATGTCCCTCTCTCCACCCGGGGCTAGGGTCCCTCTCCACTATCTGGAAACCGAGTTGGAAGACCCATTCGCTTTCAACGAGGAAGATGATGACCTAAAGAAAGGGGCAACTGTGAGAAAGAAGTTGCAGAGCAAGTTGGCCCAGAATCGGCAGCGCCAGAGAGAGACGGAGATTTTAAAAGTCCGACAAGAGCACTTTAGTCCCCCTCCTGCGCCTTCACAGCAGCAGGCCCCGCCGCAGCTCTCCCACCTGTCACCTTTAGCCTCGTCCTTGAAACCTCCAGCGCCACCGCCACCGCAGGGTGTAGTCTGCAAGTCCCCTCCACCTCCGAGCACCAGCCTACCAATGCAGGGAGTGGCCCCCACCACACACACTGTAGCACAAGCGAGGCCGCTGCCCCTCCGGCCATCCAGTAGGGCTCCCGCCGCGGACCCGCCCCGGACTGACCGGGTCCTCATGAAAGCCACAGCCTTCTCTCCACACTTCTCCTGCATAAGTCGCCTGCACAGACTGGTGAAACTGTGCACCCAGAAACATCAGTTGGACACTGATCTGTTTCCCCATTTAGGTGAGTTCTCTCGTTTCCCAGACTGTAACACAGCGTGCGCTTGCAGGGGAGGCTCAGTGTTCAGACCCACCGCATCTGTGATGCGGGTGGCGGGGCCCTGGGACCCGGGGAGTCCAGTGCAAGACTGTGTGTTTAGGGGGGCCGTCGTCAAGGAAATAGGCTAGTGGAGGGGATGATCCTTGGCGGACAGGATATGGAAGTAGGAGTCGGCAAATTTGGAATGGCAGTCACAGTTTCTAGTTTGTGGTAGCAACAGCGGTATCGAAAGGCAGTTGTGTTGGGTTCTCTGCCCCTGTGAGCTCAGCACCTGTGTCTGATGAAGTTTTCGACATGTCTTATCGTAGGACTTTGGAATAATGATAGCATTGTTAGTATCTGCTGACAGTTAAAAAACAAACAAACAAAAAACCGTGTAAAAAAAAATTCCCAAAGCGATGCCTGTTCATGATTTAAAAGTGAAAAACTACAGGTAAAACTTTAATGTAGTGAAATGTCTTTCCTTTATTGCTTCTGAATTTTCTGGCTCAAGAAAATCTCCCTGATCCCAAGTTCATACAGGTATTTTATATATTCTTTTTTTTTTTTTTTTAAAGATTTTATTTATTTATTGAATGAGAGAGAGAAAGCACGTGAGAGGGGGGAGGGTCAGAGGGAGAAGCAGACTCCCCGCCAAGCAGGGAGCCCGATGCGGGACTCGATCCCGGGACTCCAGATCATAACCTGAGCTGAAGGCAGTGGCTTAACCAACTGAGCCACCCAGGCGCCCCTATATATTCTTATTGATAATTTGATTGTTCTGTGTTTGATTATTTAAACCTTCAATTCATTTGGAATATAGTCTTAAATATGGTGTGAGCTGTGATTCTAACTTTAGGAAAAATCATTTGCATGATGTGATAGTAATAAAAAAATAGGAAAAGAGGAATAGAGGAAGAAGAAATATAAATGGTTAGTAAACCAATGAACCTCAGTCCCCATAGCAGGTGTGGAAATGCAAATTAAAATAACAATTTCTATCAGATTGGCAAAAATTCTATCCAGTGTTGATGAGCCTTCTACATTGCTGGTGAATAATGTGGCAGTATTTACCAATTAAGAGTGTATATATAGCCAGCAAACTCACTTGTGGAACTCTGTTCTTATGGGTGAAAAAAATATCAGAATGTTAGGATATGTGTTCAAGGATGTTTATTGCAGCGTTGCTTGCAGTATTAAAAATTCTCAAACAACTTTTATAAGTAGATGTGCCTATTTTATATTAGCAAGTAGAAAAAAATCCAGGGGTATTGTATTACCCCATTTTTGTAAAAATAAAGTAAATAAACAAGGGACATCGGTGTGTCTGTTGATTAAGCATATGGACAGATAGATGTTTGCCTATTGGGGTGTAAGCATGGGTCTTTAACGTGTGAATGGTTATACACTACCAGGCTGTTAACACTGACTGTCAAGGGGAGGACAGAATTGGATAGGATGTGTTTTTACGGAGATGGGAATGGCATCTCTTCTTTATTAGAGTTTTATATTGTTTCACCTGTTAGTAAGCCATGTATGACTTTTGGTAATTAAAACAACTAATAAAACTTAAAGAAAAGGTATATATAAAAAAAAAATAAAACACCCAAACCTTATTAATACCCATTTGTTAATGCCTTGGTATATTTCATATCTGTAAAATTGGGTTCCTGCTGTACATACAGTTTTATAACCTGTTTTAAAATTTTTCACAATGTACTATGAAGGTAGTAATTTTTCATATACAATGTAATTTGTCACAGCTGAATTCTTTCTCTAATTTAGGTTGTTTCCAGCTTATATTATTCTAAAGTATAGCTGTATAGCCTCATACTAAAATAATTACTGTCACATCTCTAATTTGTCCTTCAGACAGATTTCCTAGAAGCAGAATTGCTGATTCCAAGCTTTTGCATTTTTTTTAAAAGTTTTTTGATACAATGTTGTCAAATTTTCCTTCAGAACTATTTTGTCACATTACCCTTCTTTCAGCAGGGTATGAGATGACAGTTTCTCTCTATCTTTACAGTACTGGATATTGGTTATTATTGTGCCTTTGCAAATTTGATAGAAAATTTGCTTTAATTTGCATAACTTAGATAAGTGTTTCTCAAATTTTAGCCCTTAGAATCCCTTTACACCTAAAAATGGTTGAGGACACTGTAGAGCCTTTATGTATGTGAGTCACATTTGTTGATATTTACTGAATTAGAAGTTAAAACTGAGAAATTTTTAAAATGTTAATGCATTTTTAAAGATAACACCACATGTTAACATATTCTTTTTATGAAATAGCTATGTTTTCCCGAAAGAAAAGAAATATAATGCGAAGAGCAGCATTATTTTACATTGTTTTGTAAATCTTAATGTGTGGTTTGCTGGAAGACAGTTAGATTCTCCTGTCTGCTGTCGTCATATGTGGTTTTGATTAGTATGTAAAAATATGGCTTACACGTTTGGAGTTGGAAAAGGGAAGAATATTTTACTAGCTTTTTAAAAATAATTGTGGATATTCTTATTTGACCCTATACCGAAAATTGACAAATGGTAGTTTCTTAAAGATTAGTTGCAGTGTGAAATCTGAAACCATATCAAGGAATTTTGCAAATCATTACATTAAAATCCATTGATCTGCTTTGCACTTTGGTTTTTAAGATTTTATTTATTTATTTGACAGAGAAAGAGACAGCGAGAGAGGGAACACAAGCGGGGGAGTGGGAGAGGGAGAAGCAGGCTTCCTGCTGAGCAGGGAGCCCGATGCGGGGCTCGATCCCAGGACCCTGGGATCATGACCTGAGCCGAAGGCAGACACTTAATGACTGAGCCACCCAGGCGCCCTGCTTTGCACTTTGAAGGGATCTTTTTACCCATGCGTGATTTTGTAACATCATATATTGGTCATTTAGAAAATACTGGTTTACCTAGTTAAACATATATCCCAAATGTGGACATATTTCATTATACAAAATTTAAAAATCATACTCTCATGGGATGCCTGGGTGGCTCAGTCAGTTAAACATCCAACTCTTGATCTCAGCTTAGGTCTTGATCCCAGGGTCGTGAGCTCAAGCCCCGTGTTGGGCTCCACACTAGGGGGTGTAGCCTACTTAAAAACAAAACAAAATCACATTCTTTAATATTACCACCAATCTCGTCAGAATAGTCTGTTAGAAAGTTGTCATAGACTCAGTGATGACTTCAAGTTTTCAAAAAAAACCAAAATCAAGCTTTCAAGTGAAAATCTGAATTTCATTGTTGGCAACAAGTCCTGTCCATTGTTTTCCTTGAGGTGACAGTTTCACTGTGTTCATTTTAGAAAAAATGACTGTCAGATATCCAAGTCTTAGTAACCATAGTTTGTTGGTCACTCCTTCAAATAAAAATGGTGTCGAATGGAAAAAAAGCAGCTCGTTGAGGTCACAGTTACACCAGGTGCTGCAAGGGCTTTTCCTCAAGACAACCACCCTATGTTTGCGGTGTGCCACACAGGGGCTTTCTGACTCCACATGGAGTCACAGACACTGGTGTAAAGACGCGCAGTCAAGAACTAAGATTTAATAAACAGTCTTTAATATACCTATACCGAGCTTTGTCACAGATACTCTTTTTTTTTTTTTTTTAAGATTTTATTTATTTGTCCGAGAGAGGGAAGGAGTGTGTGCGTACAAGCAGGGGGAGCGGCAGGCAGAGGGAGAAGCAGGCTCCCCACCGAAGCGCGGGACTCGATCCCAGGACGCTGGGATCCAGACCCGAGCTGAAGGCAGACGCTTAACCGACTGAGCCACCCAGGCGCCCCAAGGATATTCTTAAAACTGTTATTTATTTATTTATGTATTTATTTATTTTACTACACATCGTGGTCTGAAACATAGAATGACTGCTCGTATAGTTTGGTCCCACCACCCTGATTCATGCTGAGGCGCCAGCAGATTGACCTACCATGTTTTTTGTTTTTGTTTTTTATCATCAGTGCAAATGCCAACACGGTGAAAAAAGCAGATAATGTCTTCTTATTTTGAAGATAGTGTTGACCTAAGGAACTCCCTAAGGAGGGTTTCAGGGACCCCTGGGGAATCTATGGACCATTCTTTAAGTGAGAACTGCTGTTTTGAGATAGTAGTTGTAGCTTTGAGTATTTGTTCATATGCTTTTTGGACATTTGTATTTCTTGTTTATTTTACGTTTTGAGTTTTTTCACTCATTTTTGTTGAAGGGCTTCTTTTTTTTATTGATTTGGTATGATCTTTTTATACATATTTCATGTTTGTTGCAAAGCCTCTCTTCCCACTTGTTATTTGCTTTTAAATATCTATGATATAATTTTTTTGGAATTTAGGAGTTAAAATTGTTGATGTGTTCTGTTTTTTTAGAATTTTTTTCCTTTTGAATCAGACTCTTTGTTTTGTTTTATTTTGTTTCTTACTTGTCTGGGCTCCAAGAGTATGTAATATATTCACCCGTATTTTCTTTTGGTCCTTTTATTGTTTGATTTATTTACATTGTAGTCCTCTATTTGGAATTCATTAGGAATTAGTTTTGAGGCAAAATCTAACTTTATTTCTTCCCAAATGTTTGCCTCTTACTCCACAATGTACCTGTGTTATCTACTAAATATTTATTTATACTTTTATGTATTTATGGATGCTGGTAATTTTTTTAGCTTTTGAAACAAACTATGTTGTGTTAGAGGCTGGTTTTTTGTCATTTTGAACAGAATGAAAATTTACAGAAAAAGTATTGTCTTTTTTTTTTTAACGATTTTTTATTTATTCATTTGAGAGAGAGGGAGAGAGTGAGTAAGAGCACAAGCAGGGCGCAAGGTTAGAGGGAGAGGGAGAAGCAGGCTCCTCGCTGAGCAGGGTGCCCCACGCAGGGCTCCATCCCAGGACCCTGGGATCATGACCTGAGTCGAAGGCAGACGCTTAACCAACTAAACGACCCATACACCCCCCTCCCTTTTATTTTTATTTATTTTATTTATTTTATTTTTTTAAACTCAAGCATATTAGGGTCCTAGGTTTCAAAACAAAGGTTACTTTGGAGAAGCCAGAAATTGTAGTGCACTGTTATGACCAAGTATAGTCTGCATTCATGTCAGCAAAGTATACTTTAAGAAAAATGCGATCTTGTAATCAGCCTTTACAGTCTCCTCTGGCCTGGTTATCTCAGTTAGTTATATTAAAACTAGTGATAATGAAGCCAAGATCAAAGGTTTGCTTTATTGGACAGTTAATTTCACAAGAGAAACACTTCCATCTTAGTTTTTACAACTTAGATCTTGACTTTTTCAGAGAAGATATAGGTGACTTAGTAGAAATTATTATGAATTATACAAAAACAATAAAAGATAATTTATGTCCTCATTTTAAAAGATACCGTACGTGTCACTTTGTGTTTGAAAGACCTCGCCTTTCAGTATCCTATCCTGAAGCTAATGCTATTGTGATTACTTGTTTTTTACTTTTTTTTAATCACTAATTATTTTAACTTTCTTTTTTTAAGTAACTTACTTTTTAAGGTGACCTAACATTTGGATAGTCCTCTTGGAACTAAATTTGAGGTTTCTTTATGCCAGTGGTAATGTGTTACTTAATTTTAAGCATTTATAATTTGCATTTCGGTTAACCTTTTCTTAATTTCCCTATTTGGCACATGTAAACTTACTTAAATTATAGAAGCAACCTGTGAGGTCCTTTCTAACATAACTGTCTAATGAAGGTGGTCTTCTGATTTTTGAGGGTCTCAAGAAGGAAGACCGAATACTAGTTATCAAGGTATCTAATTCAAGTCTCATAGCGGTATGAGTATATTTAAAGTTATGCACGTTAGGGCGCCTGGGTGGCTCAGTTGGTTAAGCGACTGCCTTCGGCTCAGGTCATGATCCTGGAGTCCCGGGATCGAGTCCCGCATCGGGCTCCC